GGAAAAGGGAAACATGGTGCCCACATTGAATTGAACCCTAGGTATGGATTTGCCCATGCTTTTGCTCTATCTGCTGAATATAATACCTTAATTGGTATTTGCAGATTCAGCCAGGAGGTTAAGGATTCCTCTGGCCGAAATGTAGTGAGCTGGTATTGCTTATGGAAACTCATCACCAGAAAGAAATCCACATGGTGTGTCACATTTCACAAGCCTATGAGAAACCACTACAAATTCATCTTCCTTCATCAAGTATCAAAAAAGACTTTCAGAATTATAAAAAATGTATGTACTGAGAACAGTGTCAATTATTACTCCTAAACCCAAGGGATAGATTTTACCTGTGGAATTTTGTAGACACTTAAGATGTCTTCAATATGGAAAGAGATATCAGAGCCTAGTCCGCCAATGGCATTTATTAGGTTTCTTTGAGTCCCACATTTGTAGTTGGGGACAAATCTGTGTGATTTGAAGAGTAGCTCTGCTGTGACATGATAAGTCAGACTGGCATCATAGTAGCTGTCATAGATGTGGTAGCCAAGTGTAACATTGGGCAAGATCTTGGGATCCTCATTGATCTCATTGATGGCAAACACCAAGGCCAGGACATGCTGATAGAACTTTGTCACCAGACTTCAAATAAAGGATTGAATAGTACTTTTTACAAGAGAATTGCATAATGCATTTTATCATTTTATCACAAGTCTTTCATATCAAAAGAGATAGTTGACACAAATGCCTTTTCTGGGTGTCATGTTTGCAGTTGAGGAAAAATGCATAAAAACTGAAAAGCAGGTCTAGAGTAGCATATTGCAATAGGTACCAAACATTTGGGAACTAAATTTGACCTTGGACAATAGCTTGGGATATCTGTTTATCTCCATTCCCACTAATGCCAGGAGCAGAACGTTCTGACTGTTTTGTGAACTGGAATCTTGAAGTCAGTTGCTCTAATTGAGTCATTTTCTTCACATAAAAATATGTTTTTACCTTACAGGGGAAGCCACGACAGTGAAATAAACAAAGATTCTTAAAATGTCTTGCAATGGCAATTTGATTTGACCTAGGTTTTTGCAGTCATTCCATCAGATATTTTAAGCTGGCATGCAACTGGGCAGATACATGTTTTCTAGATGCATTGCAGAAAAATTGTTTAGCTCAGAACAATGCAAGAGATAATGGGAGCTATGCCATAAAACTTTTGTTTTCCATAGTGAGGGAGCTAGTCTTTCGGAAATAAATCCTTAGAAACATGACTTTTCATCACTGCAGGAATTAAGGAGAAGAAAATACAAGACCTACTTTGATAAGTCATCAAGATTATAAGTGATGAGTCAGGGGGGTGATAAGGGAAACAGATAATAGTGTGAGTTAGAGAAAACAACTGCAAAGAGAAGAATGCTAAATTTAGACAAGGATGTTTCACACAAAATTTACAGCAAGGAAATATTGGCATGACCAAAATGCATCATGAGAGCTCTGTTTTTAACCCAGAAAATTATGTCCCATATTGAACTGGGTTCTCTATCCTTTCTAACCTTTTCCTGCCTGCACAGTTATACTTAGATCAGCCTTCAAGTCACCCCTGCTAAGCTGGAAAGACTTAGGTCTGCAACTGGATGGGTGACCACTTGTGGAAGTCAGGCAGGGAGTTGGACTCAATGGCCTTATAGGCCCCTTCCAGCTCTATGATTACTCTGTTCTGTTTATCACATTACTTGACTGTGTGCATTTCAGAAAAGGCTCCAGGGAGCTGTCCTTTACTTCTGTTGAGCCTCTCCTAATTTCAAAGGGAAAATAGAGTTCTCTGTAAAACCATTAATTGCCAAGTATCAACTCCAGGTTTTGGAGGACTATAAGGCTTCTTTCGTGGAGCCTTCTCCGTGAGTCCACCTTCTTGACAACATCATCATCAGATGGTGCTTCTCTTCCTCATGACAACTGCCTGATTGCTCACCAAGCAGAGAGCCACTGAACATCTAGGAAATAATATCTATTGTGAGCAAGTCATTGCAAAGGGGAGGAGATGAAGGCGTTCCAAGGAGCTTTTGTCAGTGAGATTCTTGCCCCATCTGGACCACTGACCACTGCCCAGCCATGCTGATTCCTTGGTCACCTGCCCCAAACATCTCTAGCATTGTTCATTCTTTGAGGAAATGTCCATGATTTCTTTAATTTTGTGTTCTTCACTACATGCTGATAAACCACTCAAGTAAGGATTGATTGTTCTTTAAAATATTCATCACTCTCCAATCAAGTGATTTAACACACATCTTACTAAACCAGAAGCAAAGCTATAAAATATACAAAATTTATGCATATTTCCCATAGAATGGCTTTCTATTATCATCAATGGGCTTTTTAAAGGAATGTGTGTCTTCTTTTAGACTAAGTTTTTCGGCGCCAGGTAAAGACCTTTTTATTTAAACATCATTTCAATTGTTAAAACATATGATCTGGCCAGGGCAACTTCTTCTTCCTTCTCTTTCTCCTCCTATATTTTTATTCTATACTGATAATTTTAATTTTATATTTGTAAATCAATGCATTTTTGTATTTCTGTATTTAATGGTAATTTATTATGTACTATTGTATTTCAATGTATTTTATCATGTTGTAAGCCGCCCCGAGGTTTCGGCAAGGGGCGGCATAGAAATGTAATAATAATAATAATAATAATAATAATAAGTGTACTTGTGGATCTGTTCATTTCTTGTCACTTGTTGATACTGTGAAAATAAGCAGGAAGTTGTGCAAGGACACCACATTTGTTGCAAGGTATGAGATTCATTAGTAATGGCATACATTTGAATATTAGATATACATGTATTTTCTGAATTATAAATGGGTTCTCCAACTGCATTTGCATTATGCAAAGGATTCCTTGTGTTTTTATATGAAACCCTCAACAGCCTTCACACTACGTATTTTATTATTTTTCACAATTTTTTTCTAAATTTCCTTCTCCCTGAATATATTTTTAGTCACTCCTACTGATTTTTTTTTTTTTTTTGTACTTGCATCTCATTGCCTTTAGGTCTTTAAAAAAAATCATATAACCTGGGAACTTTAGAAATTGTCACAAAGAGACAGACAGAGAGGAGAAGGAAGAGTAGTTTTCAGGTGCCTGAAGTAATTTATTCTATCCAATTTCAGAAATTGCCCATTTCTGTCTAGATCCTGCTGCAGTGAAATGAAATAGAACACCAAGTCCTGATTGTCATAAACAGAAGCGGTTATCCTATTTTGTGGGTCGGAAGTCTGTGCTCATCATAAGTGGAAAACACAAAAGCCACCTTTGTTGTCTACTTCTGCTTCAGCACCTCTTTTCTGAGTAAACCATCCATGCAGTACAGAACTTTCAAACTTGTCAAGCTCATTTGAGAGAGAGTGAGAGAGAGTGAGAGGGAGGGAGAGAAATTCTCATTTACATTGGAACCTCAGGAAACTTCTGTGAAGGATGTTCCTTGAAAGAAAAAGTGTGGAAAGTATGGATGATCAGAGAAGTGATCCCACCAATGTGGAGGTCTCCCGGTTGATACCACTGATGAGGAACATGGGGAGGATCATTGACCAAGCAATTAATGGGATCTATTTTGTATGCCAACTGAGGAAACAGCAGCAGCAGCAGCTTCAACAGTGTCACCATCCAAGCCAAGAGCTTCTTTCTGGATGCAGATGCTGGTATTAGCTTCATACAAGCACGATACAGAAGAGGGTAGCTGGTTCTGCTAATGCAACACCAAGAGAAGCCTGATCTTTAATAATTTCAGTCAGTATCAATCTACACCATCAGAATAAGCATACATTCAAGCTAATAACCACCCAACAATGACTGATTTAACACCAGGAGTGACCAGGGGAAGGGGGAAATTCTCAGACCTTAAACAAACCAGGCTCTTCCTAGTCCTTGCCTTTCGTTCCTTATATTAATGACACAAACCAGAAAGCTGTAACCCCTTCCAAGACTGCGTATGACACACAGGCTCCTGTATCAATCTAGAACATCAGCTTGGGTTAAAGATGGTACCTTGCATTGCACATGATTCTGCCAGGACTCCTTTTAAAGGGAACTAGAACAGGGCCATCTCTTTTTCATCACCAAAGATAGCAACTGCCAATGGACCTGAGTGGACATTTCACCCACTCCGTCTATTGAGATAAAGTTGGGTACCTCTTCTCTTTGAACAGAGCTTTCAAACACAAATTGTTTTATAACCTCTGACATAGGTTGCTTGCTGGATTTTTTTTTTCTACACATAACTTGGCATGACAGAAAAGGAAGAGGGAAAATACCGTGATTTTGATAATTACAGGGGAGATTGTTTACTTTGCTGAGGACATCTCTGGATGCCAATAATGATTGTGATGCACTTGGTTGTTCAAATAACCCCCACCCCCATCTTTCTATTCTCACCTCCTTGCTCCTCACTGAGAAATGAGCCAGAACTGTTTCCCTAGAATTTTAGAAAAAGACTGATTTTTCTGAGAAAACAATTGCAGAATTGTCAGCCCAGTTCTTGTACAATAACATAGGATGTCTGATTATGAAATGCAACCATTGGTGGGAAAGGGTAGTTCCTTCACTACTTTTTCATTAGTACAAAACCTAAATTGACTCCACCTGACACCACTGTTGCTGTATTCTTTCTCTTTATCAACTATGGGCAGTTAACAGGCTGCCAGAGGGTTCCTTGAACACTAAAACTAAAGTCTGAAAATATTCATTGTATTCCAGAAATGCATACTGAGTAAATCCCAACAGGAAAACATATCTTAAAATGAAGGACCACTGAGTTTCAAGCATGGTGGAACAGCTCCAGGGGCAAGTCTAATAGGGTTTCAAGAGTCTGTAACACAGGAGATTATTGCTACAAGAAGAGAAACAAGGACTGAGATAAGGACCTGTGTTATTCTTACAAAATGTCTGAGCAATGGTGGTTGATATATCCTCACTTTCCAAACCCTGCTCAGACCTTATGTAACCTGTTGGTCCAGCATTCCAGATCTCATTCCTCCCAAAGAAATCATGAAGACCCCCTTATCACAAAGAGGCCTGCTTCCTTTGCTCCTTGAGTTGCACATTCCATCTTCAGTTGGCTGAATCAATCCTAATGCTTGCCAACATCTTGAAGGTCTTATTTAAGAGCAGTCAGCAAATTCCTTAGAGGTAGCATCTCAAACATGCAAGGAACTATCATAAATTAAGGAATGAGTTTCATTATTGAAGGACCCAAATGCGAAAGGAGGTCCACAGCAAACATGGCAGCATGTCATGTAAGTGCTGGAAACATAAATGCCTTCTATATTTCTACCAACTGAGAAGCTCTTCTGTACAACCTGATTGGCTGCAACAGAAGACATTTAATTATTTCTTGTAACTATTTGATCCCTGCTATTCAGTTCTGGCCTTAGAACAATGATGTAGCATTTAGGGAAAAAGATACAACTCAATAAGCCAGTACTAGATGACAGGATGCAGAAGATCTCCACAGCCACCATGTCTTTCCCCCTGGAGCTGAGGTAAGCTGGAACAAAGCAGACCCATACACTACAGAACACCAACATGCTGAACGTAATAAACTTGGCTTCATTAAAACTATCCGGTAATTTACGAGCCAGGAATGCCACAATGAAGCTCGTGATGGCCAAGAGGCCCATGTAGCTCAAGACACAATAAAACAGGACAGCTGACCCTTCATTACATCGGAGGACAATTTCTTCAGTTCCTGAGTGCAGGTCTATATCAGGGAAGGGAGGAGAGTTTACCAGCCACATCACACAAACATTTGTTTGCATAAAGGAGCACAAGATGAGAATAGAGTAAGTTAGCCGTTTCCCCACCCATTTCTTCATTCTAGATCCAGGCTTGGTGGCCACAAATGCAAGAGAAACAATGCTGGTTTTTGCCAGAACAGAAGAAACAGCCACTGAGAAGATGATGCCAAATGTTGGTTGCTGCAGAAGACAGGTCACCTTGAGAGGCTGACCAAGGAACAGGAAAGGAGAGAGGAAGCAGAGGAGAAGGGAGATGAGGAGAATGTAGGTGAGATCCCGGTTGTTGGCCTTGACTATGGGGGTATCTCTGTGCTTAACAAACGTTCCTAACACCACACCTGTGACCACAGACAACAAAACAGAAAGAGAAGCTAAACTGATCCCTAAATTTTCCCTGTAAGAGAGAAATGTGATCCTTTTGTGACTGCATCCATCTCTGTTCTTGCTTGGATAGTGATCTTCTGGGCATTTGAAGCAGTCAGCCATATCTATCAAATAAAAAAATGATTGTATACATGTCAGTGTTAATTCAAGCCAGATCTGCTTGATATTCTTAATTGCCCTTCTACAGGGAAACTCCCTCCTTATGGTCACATGAATAAATTCCCAGCAAATAGGTTTCAAATGTTATGCTCGTTTTTTCCCTCAGACAAGAGCTTTGCATTTTTCTTCTCCTCTGCACTTTCATTTCATTTTGTGTTACCTCTCCCTCCATTTGCATCGATCTCTATTCCAAGAACTTTAACCATATGAACTGTTTGCAGCATTACCTGCTGCCAATATAAGGATTCTTCCATTTCTGTGGAAAGCCAGAGTGGCATGGTGGTTAAGAGCACAGGATATGGTAAGAATGCTCATCGCTGTAAATTCATATGTTCATTGTCCCCATTTTTTTGCAACCATGTCAGTTAACCTATTGCAAAGGAACATCTTACAACAGTATGATGGAAATAATTGCATACGGCAACCTACCTGTCGCATTTGAAATCTTCCCTTCTGGGCATGAAATACAATCATAGCAGCAGAACATCTCTCCTTCCTTCATCTTCTTCCACTTACCAGTGTGGCACTGCTCATTACACACAGAACGGGGAATAGTCTACACAGAAACATTAAGAGTGCTACCATACAGAGAATGGATTTCACTTGCACAAATATGTAGCAGAGCTTCAATACTGACCTGGAGCTGCTAGGCTCTTCATCATTTATTTACTCTGACCATCAATTTAGAAAAACATTATCAGTGCTACAAAAACATTGGAGTAGAATTCCAGTAGACAATTGAATGCAAGATTGACCTTAAAGGCCTTGTTTTTAAGCACCAAATGCAGTCTGGAATTCGTGCTTCTTGAGTTGTTGCCATTGTACTTTCTATTCTAAGGCAGATTGATAAGTTCCTATGCATCCTTATGGGAAAGAGTCTCCAAAGCCACTGTGAAAATCTGTCAATACTATCCATCCATCCCATCAGATGCCTCTTTCTGGCTGAGAGTATAGTAGGCCTTCTTATGTTTGGACAGGCTCACAAAAGACCAGGAGGTCTCTCAGATAATATCAGCCCCAGTCATTCATTCATACCTTCAAAGGTCAAACCCAACACCTTGAATTGGGGACAGAAAGAAGAAGCAACATGCAAGAAAGGATATCAGAGATGAGGAATATGATATGAAAGCTCATCTCCAAAAACCTTCTAAGCCTCCATATTCTGTGCCTATTCCAATTTCCCCACAACATTCTGGCTGCAACACGCGATGCCCACTGCAACACCTGAACATGTTGCAAAAGAGCCCCACCTAAAGCAGACTGCAATTCTCTAGCCTGGATGTAACCAGGGAGTGTGTTGGTAAGGTTAGGTTAGCTTTCTGTGCTTTAGGTCCCAGCTACCAAACCAATATAGCTGATAAGGTACCGGGTAATGCCACCTGCATTTCCATAGACCACCCTGAATGAACCCAAGCCCACTGTCTTAATATTCCAAAGAGTGCCTGGATTGACATGGGAGCTTTAGTGGCCAGCAAACTCAGCAACTTCTGTCAAAATTTTGAAACAGGAAGGCAATGGTGCCATTTTCCCCATCCTAGCACTAGATAAAGAATGGATGGAGAAATGAGGTGTCAAAACACTGGGCAAAGCGAAAAAGCAAGGGTGGTCTCAGAGAAACCTGTCAGGCATCTCTCCGAAGCACTCTGAAAACTTGGCAGTGAAACTGGTTCTAGGCAGTGAAGACTTTACTCATCACAGGATTATGGTAGACAAATGATCCATCTGAGGGAAGAGCAAGCCTTCAAGAATAACTTGGAAAATGCACCTGATTAAAACCATGTTGCCACACAATCATGTCTTTATTAAGGATGAGTTCTTTTCCTTCGGGAGCCTTGGGGTCCACCCTTCCAACTTTTACTTTCTGATAGGACTTGTTCTCAAATGTGACTAGATTCATGATGTCAAATCCACCTTCTAGTTCCCTTCCAGCATTAAAAGACATGGTTTCACCAGCAGTGTTGTTAAAGGAAATGCATTGTAGAAATGGGTGGATCTAGTTGGAAAGTGAGAGAAGAAAAGGATGCAATAGCAATGAAGTAGAAATGTCATTGTGTTCTCTTGATATTGTCTATGTCAACCCATCAAACACAGACTAAGGTATGACCATCAACATCTAAATTATGCTCAGACTCCAATTATAAAAAGAAATATTCCATAGAATTTTGTCCACAACTATTGCATATTTTATTGTAATTCACTGTTCATTTGTGTGTGTGTGTGTGAGAGAGAGAGAGAGAGAGAGGGAGAGAGAGAGCGAGCGCAAGCGAGCGAGCGAGCGAGTGCACAATATCCATACTGTATATTCTACTCTGTTTACCAAAATAAAGAACAACTTCAGGTAAGAACATTACCTGCCAGGATTGCATATCTTGAAGGTCCACCATTGCTTGCTGCATCATTACTCTGTGGTTGGATCTGGATGACAACATGACCTGCAAAGCATGTGCCATGGCATAGACAGCATTATAGATACTGTAGCTGTGGCCAGTCATGAGCATCTCAAACTGAGGTCCAGGAAGGTCCTCCAGGCTCTCTGCTCCAGTGCACTCTCCATCAACCATTGCCAGCTCTCCCGGATCAGGAAATGAGCAGTCAAATGCTTGCTCCCAGAAGACTTTGAGAAAGCCATCTGCCTGGGTCTGAGAAAGCTTTATGTTTAAAAGAAATTCTCTGAATGCTAGAAGGTCTCTTGAGTGAATCGCAAAAGATATGGCACCTTGGAACCACAGAAGATCCCAACCTTTCTGAAAGCCCATTAAGACAAAATCCATCTGGCTTGTTGTGATCCACACCTTCCTAAACAACGATGTCTTATTCTCAGGATCTCTTAGGAACATAATCATTCTCAGCCACACAATGGTTACAGATTCTCCATAGATGATAAAAATGTTGACTTGATCATATCCATCTGTGAATTTTACAGAAATTGTTGAGAGTGTATCAAGAACTTCAGGCAATTTATCCCAGCGAGGTAGTTGAGGGATTGTTTGTGAGAAAGCTGGACAGATTCCCTTCTGGGACATCAGGGGTTCCATGGCCTGCAAGAAATGTTCTCCACTGTTATTATCAACAGCAAGGATCCCGACCCAGGTCCATCCAAACTGTTGCAATAACTGGACAATGCCTGCATACTGAATGGCTTCATTTGGAACCATGTGATAAAACGAATTGGTTTGCATTTTATCTCTTTCTTTTGGGGTAATAGAGCCATAGGTGAGCTAAATGGGAAAAACACAATCAAGAAATGGTTAAGCATGATTGTCTATGTGTGCATGTTTACTAATTTAATTGATTAGTAAATCAGTTTACTAATCAGTTCTATGAGTTGAATATTTCACCCTTTCTGAAGGGTAGAACAGATGAATCAGTTTGCCATGTCACGCTTACCCTGGGGCAGGTAGATACTTACCTTGGCTGATACTACAGTCCCTTCATAAGAAAAAATTACCAAGCAATTATTTAAAACTTGGCAGTGGAGGGAAAATATGTTTGAGGATGGTACTTAAAAAATTGAGAATTAACAGGGAGGATATTGCAAAAGTTTGTTAGCTTTCTCTGCAAATTTGGCTTATTATCAGATTTTGTTTTGTTTCATATTGCCTCCTGCAGATTTTGATGTAGTTTGATTTTGGTGGCCAATTTCTGCATGCATAATGCCTCGTTTCAGAAGTAGATTTTTTTATTAGTAGGAATCTGTATTGTTTAGCAACAGCTGTCCATTTGGAGTGGTAGAATGAAGGCTCCTGGAAGAAGGGGCTGATAGATCTGGATTTATTTAAAAGCTTCACTGTTTTAGCCTTTGTGTTTGTCACAAAACTAGATCCCTCTCTTCCCTTCCTTGCCACCCTAGTATTTCCCTTATGTAAAGTTTCCTGCAAAGCTTCTGAATGAGATGAGGGAAAAGGGAGTGTAACAGCATGATGTGGTTTGGGAGCAACATCGGGCAAAATGGCATAACTGGTGAGGAAGAGAAAAGGACTTGCTCAGGAGACCTGCCAAGGGATTGGATAGCAGGAGCAGAGGAGAAAACCAGTAGATTAATTTGTTTTGTGGACCAATGCATCATTTATGGATTTATCCACTCTTCAGGATGCATGTTAACTGTTCCTCTTTTTCTGCACTTGTTCCTCTAATCTGTTTATTGTGTGTGTGTGTGTGTGTTTATTTTTATGTATTCCCTGATATCAATTTTGTATACATGAGTTTTTATTTTTATTTTTCCTCTCCTAGAGTAAAGCTCAGTTCATTCAATCTTCTAATTAGTGTATCCTTCCCAAATTAAAGCTCTGTTCCAGTTTATGTGGGAATGCCAATTTCACCAATAGTATTGGTGTATTTATATACTGTCAGTCATTTAAAATCTCATGGTGGTTTAGAACAAACTTTTTAAAACTCCAATTAATTCAACAATAAAATGTTTAAAAACTCCTTATTGCCAGTACTTGTTGCTAAAATAATTAAAATACCATTTAACAATTTAAAACTTTTGGTCCGGCACTGAAATGGATAAAGGTTGGCACCAGGCACACCTTTCTAGGGAGCAGGTTTCATACTTGGGGCACTCTAGCAGAAAAGACCCTCCTCCTCCTAATAGCCCTCACCTCTTTCAAGGAGGACTCTCAGAGGAGGACTTCCACAGAGGATCTTGAGTCTGGGCAGGCTCATATGGAAGAGACATTCCCTTAGATTACTAAAAATCCCCTTAGTAATAAAAGACTTGAGGCAATATCAAGGCCAATTAATATTACACTTAAGCCATATCTTGTTTTTCCAAGGAATCTAAAATGTCATGCAGGGTCCTCGTCTGAATTGAAGTCCACCTCCTTTTTTGTACACTACCTATGAGATAGGTTAAGCTGTGACTGGCCCAAAGTCATTCAGTAAGTTTTATGGCTGAAGGAACTTGCATCGGGGTCTCCCAAGTCCCAGTTCAACCCTCTAACTACCCCACCACATTGCTTCTCACACACAGGTACCTGTATATGGAAAGCTTGAGGAAAAATGTATAAATGATTGCAAACAGCTTGCCTCATGGATTGCTCAATCAGATTTAGTTCAATCTGCTTCGGAAAAGCCTGCTTCCATTTGGCCATCTTCTGAAGCTTCCCAAGCAGCTTCTGGTTCTGCATTTGGGATTCAGCTGAATCCAGTCCCCCACGTGATGGTTAAATGAGGAGAACTGCACATTATGAACTTCCAGACATACAAATGGAGTATGCATGAGCTAAATAAATAAAGGACTGAGTTGTCTGGTGGAATGAGCTCATCCTAACAAAATGCCATGCATTTCTGGAAATTGTTTGCTTGTATCTTCACACCTTTCCCACCCTTTCAGCCATGAAATCAATCGCAGAGAGACCAAAAAAAGGCCTATAATTTTCCTTTCTCCTACCTGTGGAATCTTGTAAAAACCTACAATATCAGCCATATGAGAAGAAGTTTCAGGGCTAAGTCCCCCAATGACAGCAATGAGGTTTTTCTGTGTGTCACATTTGTAATTAGGAACAAATTGAAGTGATTTGAAAAGCAGATCCAGAGTAGTTCGATATGTCATCCTTAAATCAGAGTAACTGTCAGAGATGTGGAACCCAAAAGTGACATTTGGCAAGATCTTGGAATCCTCATTAATCTCTTTCACAGCAAATGCCAAGGCCAGAACATGTTGGTAGAGCTTGGTTACTGCACTGCAAACAGAGTATGTGGGTTATTTTAAAGGCAACGTTTACACTGCATGGATTTATTTTATTACAATAGCAGTTGTTTCTGTCTTTCAGTGATTTGCAATGTAGGAATGTTCTGATTTTCTGATCTTATGAAGAGTTAGCCATTCATCTCAAACAAAAATCTGAATACTTGCACTGAGAGTGTACATAATATGTTTAGAAGTCCACTATCATACAAGCACACACATGGATTGACACAGAGGAGAGGAAAGGGCAGGGCAGGGCAGGGCAGGAGAGAGGAAGAATGCTTATGTAGCTAAGGGCACAAAACTTGCCCATCAGTATGGGAGACGAATGCATTTGGTACACATTTTAATGCAAACCTTCTTTATGTTACACCATAATTCATTTATTGTTTGCAAACAGCACTTCTCCAAATTTAGCATTGAAGTTCTTCCATAAAATATCTAAAAGATACATATATTGAATTGCTCAGCAAATGCACACATTAGTGACAACAATGTTCAAGAATGTATTATCTGGTTATGTCATCTATTAGGGTTGGACTTCTTGATTTTCAGAACAATTGTGGAGAACGGTTTTTGCAGGCTGTGGAACCATTGCTTTGCAGTATAAAATTTGTTCAGCATTCACACATACAGAGAGGGAGAGAGAGAGAGAGAGAAGGGGGGAGAGAGATTCTAATTTCTTACTTTGTTGGTCAAATCATCAAAGGCACAGAATTATTTTCTTCCCCAAAGATGTGTTGATAATACAGCAAGTTTTCCTCCTAACCACCTCAGCATCCCCTCTGTCCTCTTCAGCAGATGTACAGAGTGCGTGAGCTTTGGCTGCACAAACATTTCTTGCCATTTGGAAATGGAGCATTTTCCCTGCCCTCATGTCAAAATCCAAGCTATGAAGAACTTCATTATGAGGGGATTTTTATTTTCTTTGCTTGTAGAGTTAGCAGAATGCTGAGGACTAAGAAGGGGATTCTGCTATGCTCAGCCCACCTCTCTCTCTCTCCATGTGTGTGTGTGTGTGTGTGTCCTCCCCCCCCCCCCACCCCCAGCATTCTTTGTGATCTGGCTAAGTTCAGATGTGAAGTAAAAAAACCAAAACAGAGCAGAACTCAAAAAGACCTACCTGGGAATCTGAAACAGGTTCTGAGAAGGATGCTTGTTGAATAACACTTCATCAAAAGCATAAGTGATCTGAGAAACCATAGCACCAAAGAGAAGGTCACCAGGTTGATACCATTCATGTGGAACAGAGAAAGTAGCACTCAGTAGACATTCCTTAGCGTCTGTTTTGTATATCATGGTAGGTAAGAGAATTTGGAATATCAGGAGCCGTAACATTCCAGTGGCAATGCTTCTCCCAGGACAGATGGTCTACTGTTCATCCACAGGAATGACTAGACTTAAACAAGCGGTGCTGAATAATGCCAGATTGTGGCAATTTGCACCTTAAGGTAGTTGCCATACTTTCACCCAGCAACAAGGGTAGAAATGCATGTGATGCCTACTAGCTGGAACTAACATACTTTCACGTCTAAGGGGTAAGATGAAAAAAAGGAAGAAGAAAGGAGGGAGAAGACAGGAATAAAAGAAGAAGATTCCAGGAGAGGAAAGACAGATATAAAAGAAGAAGAAATCAGGAAAGTAAAGACGGGGGAAAAGAAGAAATCAGGAGAAGAAAGACATAAATAAAAGAGAATTCTGCCTACTACTTGCCATTTTCCCAGAACTCCATGATGAAATTTTTAACCACTTTCAACGCTGCTTATTTATTATGTTTGGTGTTTCTAGAAACCTTTAGAGCTTTGTCCAGGAGAGATAATTACATTGATTTGAATAATTCTGAGGGGAGATCATTAGTTTTTCAGCATTGAGCTCTTGCGTCCATCCTTTCATAACAAGTATCTTGGGTGTGATCCCAATTTAGTCCTACTTAGAAAAGACTTAAATGATTGGAACATTATGATTAATGTAGGCCCTATTGATGCCAATGGGTCTACTTCACCTTGAAGTATACGTGATGGAAATATATGTCATTTAAGCATTTTCAAGATACCTCATATCCTGGCCTTTTCAGTCTTCTTTCCTTCCCTCTGTGCCCACCAAACTGCCCTCTTTTACCCCTGTCCAAAGTCAATTTCCCAACTTCTTTCCATGGTGGCTGTGAGGGGATGGAGAAAGGGCAATGAAGCTTGGATTCTCATCTCTGAGGTCATGGCACTGCCTTCAACCTTGGAGCTGGAATTCTAAAATAAACTACAGCCTCTAAGAGAATGTCTGTATGTCATAGGATTACTTCCTTCAAATCCACTTATGGGTTCCCAAGAGATTGTTCTAGCTTTGAAGCAATAATTTCCAGTGACATAGACAAGGAAGCTCCAAATCAGCTTCGTATGAAGACTAACAGAGGATGGTCTGAAGGCACATAAGGCATCCACCATGCTGAAGCTAAGCAAGTCTGGGGCTGGCCAGGGAACTAAACAGGGGAAATGATTTAAGAATGCAAGTCACTAAAGGTGCCTGGATTAAATTTGAGACCATGACCCAATGGGCACATTCTGTATGAATTCCATGCTTAGTAAAATCAAGGTCAAGCAAAGGCTAAGTGTCAGAGTGGTTCACCTGGGACAAATATATGATGTGTTTTGGGTTCCTGAGTTCAAATATTATTTTTATCATTTCCAAGATATGAAGATTTCCATCATTTCCAAGTCCAATATGATGACAATGCTGCTGCTGCAGGAAATATCCAGTGCTTAGGGCCTAATGAACACTTGTGTAAAGTAATTCTGCCCATGAAACACATTAAATGTATAAATGAGACTCATGGAAAACATGTTAGGAAAAGAATAACCACTCATCATACAAGCAAATGTTATTTTTCACTGTTTATTCATACCAGTACAAAGGGGTGTGTTTGCCCAGGATAAAGACATAAAATCTATAGGATTGAATCTCAGACTAATTCCACCCCAGGAGAGCAACAGAAATAAACTGCAGGTTAGACAGTATTCTTTCTTCAGATAAGGTGTGCCTTGCTGTTGAGATCAGGCTTCATCACGAAGATATAGCATTTTGGAAAAAAGATGCATAATAGTAACCCTGCACTGGAAGCTAAGATGGAGAAGATCTCCACAGCCACCATGTATTTTCCCTTGGTGCTTAAGTAGGTTGGAATAAAAGACAACCAAATGCTGCAAAACACCAGCATACTGAAGGTAATGAACTTGGCTTCATTGAAACTGTCAGGCAACTTCCTGGCCAGGAAAGCCACCACAAAGCTAATGAAGGACAGAAGTCCCATGTAGCCCAGGACTAGACAAAACATGTTGATAGACCCTTTATTACATTTTTCTATGATGACTTGGGATGAGGTTTGCATGTCAACATCTGGAAAAGGAGGACAGGTGCCCAGCCAGACTGCACAAATGATAGTTTGAATGAGGGAACAGGAAAGGACAATGGAGCTGGAAAATGTTTTCCCCACCCACTTCCTCCAGCTAGAACCTGGTCTGGTGGTCATGAATGCCACCACCACAGTGATGGTTTTGGCCAACACAGAAGAAACAGCCACTGAGAAGACGATGGTAAAAACAGATTGTTGGAGAAGGCAGGTCAGTGTCCCAGGCTGTCCAAGAAATAACAAAGAAGAGAGAAAGCAGAACAAGAGAGAAATGAGGAGAGTGTAGGTAAGATCCCGATGGTTAGCCTTGACTATGGGTGTGTGCCTGTGCTTTATGAAAATTCCAAGCACCAAAACATTGATGACAGATAAAGAAATGGTAACTGTGTTTAAACTGATCCCCAAAAGTTCTTGATAAGACAGAAAGCTTATATCTTTGGGCACACACCGATTCCTGCCCTTGTTTGGATATTGATCTTCTGGACATTTGAAGCAATCATCCATGTCTAAAAAAGAGACAAAGCTTTCATCTCAGTTCCGAATTGCACATGATTTATTGATTCTTCTTATTGTGTTTCATACCAAAGCAGGGCTACTGGTTTCAGTCCCCAGTATGTTGGGGAAGGAGAGCCGCAAAATCTTCCTTCCTACCTACTTTCCTTTCCACAGCTTAAAAGCTAATGGTAGTTATGGGGTAAGCTTGGCCAAAAGCTCTGGCAGCCATGGAATGCTTTCTCCTTAAAAGGTTCCAGAAATACAAACATGGAATCAGAAGGGGCATCCCAAACCATCTAGTCTGATGCCGGCTCCAGCCAATTCCATTCATGAGCCTACCATGTGCATTTCCAGCACATCCTTGAACACCCTCACTTATAGGCCTAACAGCTTCACAGCAGAATCATTCCACTCTGAAGAAAAAACAAGGTGGCATTGCTGGCACTAATGCTCCCTTTGCGTTGCTAAGCATTATTCTCCACTTTCACAAGCCCCTTCACCCAGGAACATAGAGAAGGGATTGACTTTTTAGGAGAAGAGCAGCACACTTAGAATAAATTTGCATGGGGCACTGGACTTACCTTAAAAGGCAAATTGGTCTCACACACACCTCCTTTAAGAGAGTAGGAAAGGAGCACCATTGCTTTCCTCAATATTCCAGTGTCATTCCCTTTGAAGATTTGGACAGAACACCCCATAGAAATTGCATTACATCACTGTATAGTACTGATATTAAGTTACTGGTAATGATGGAATATTTGGTCTACAGCATCACCAGTACAGAGTACTACCCTGTTTACTCACTAGGTGGCATTGCTCTTGAGCTGTATCTGAATTTAGGCATAATTTTCCAAGTTTTGCAATAGATGACACTGGTCTGAGTTTTATTTGCATGGAGTCATAAATTCCAAGTTGCATTTTACTTCTTTGAGAGACACAATGAAGTTATTGTTGAGCTTCCTGGCTGGATGTCTTCTAAGTCTGCCATGATGGACACCTACCTTTTTGGTTTGAAACCTTCCCTTCCAGGCATGGAACACAATCATAGCAGCAAAACTTCAGCCCTTCCTTCTTTTTCTTCTGATAACCAATCTGACAGGAGTCAGTACATGTTGAAATGGGCACCCCCTGCAATAAATATGAGGGGACTTTAGCACAGAAAAACAAGGATTTTTATGTGTTATTATTTATACCATAACACCATTCATTAAAAAAGAAAGAAAGACCATTGGAAATTGCAACATTACTCCATGCTTCCTTTATACATATATGTGCAAACAACATCCACCTCTTTTGCAGGAGGTTGTCACATGGCTACATTTGGTAAGCATTGCATTGAATTCTTTTGAACTGTTCCCCTGCTTCATGGGATTCTAGGCATGGCCAGTGTAAGTGGTTTCTTTGTGCCCTTTTGGCAGCTAAAAGACTGATATTTCAACACTGAAAGGATAAAGATTTTCATCCTACAATGCATTGAGCTGAGAACCTGCCAGGCTTTCAGTATCTGAATTTGTATTTGGTATATACACCCCCTGCAAATTCATATTTCTTTGGGTATCTGGTCCACTTTTGCAGAAGCTTGTGTATAGTCCCTAGAATGCTTTTCCTGGTATGTGCAATATGTGTTCATAGCTACGACCATCTAGAAATTCATGTATGCGTATTAAAAAGACTGGGGAAAATTAAAATACATATTTCACAGTGAACATAAGTTGGATTTAAACTCTACGGATGAATGAAGTGTGTGTGTGTGTTGCAGACTGAAAGTTTTAGTGACACATTAGTCCCTGAAGCTGAAGTGCCGTCAGTCTAAAGAACAGGTGCTCAGGTGCCACCAAAACCAGGTAAGGAAGTTGGCTGGGTCACAGAGTCACTCAGAGTTTAGAATATGCCCTTTGAGCCACTAGAATCTGTACCTGCTTGAAATCTTGATGCCACACAAGTGATTCGTCATGAAATATAAACCTGGTTCCTTCCAGAGCATCGGAATCTACCCTTCCAACTTTCACTCTCTGGAAGGAGTTGTTTGGGAAGATGACCATGTTGGCTATGTCAAATCCCCCTCTCATCTCTCTTTCATCATTAAAAGATATCTCTTCTCCAGCTGAGTTATTAAATGAAATGCCTTGAATGTATGTGTGGATCTGGTAGATGCAGGGGAAGAAAAAAGAAAGCAATAGTCATGTTAGAGTTTCCAATTGCCTTTCCATCGAGATACTCTTCTATGTTCTTGTACTCAAACTCATATTAAATATGCATCTAGTTCCCCCATGGTACAGAACTGAAGATACGTCATTATTCTTGCATGGGCAAAATCCACTTCAGCTCATTTCTTTCAGGATTTTACCAAGTTTTCACCTTCTGGACTTCAATTCCCAAGTCTGAACTTTCTTGAGACTGCAGTGTGACTCATGGATGCCGCTCCCTCCACCCAAAATGTCTATGACAGCTTGCACACATTTCAAAAACACTCTATTTCACTTTATTTTCTGGGAAACTGGGAAAATTTAGGAAGTTTGTCAAGTCACTGTTTGGATTCATAGAGAATGTTGACAATTTTAAGAGTCACATACAAATTTACATACAGTTTTGTATACTTTTTGTTTCCTAATGCATGCATTTTTTTTCAAAATGCCGAGTTCTTTACAATTTTCCTAACATACTACACTTTGAATGTTGTTGCACCATGTATCTCATTTCTCTGTGCGTATTTCCTTCATCTCTGCAGTTTTGTGTGCATTTTTTCCATAGAAAATTCACCACAAAATTGGTTGAAGGATAACTGAACTTCAGTTCACGTATAGCTTATGAAGTGCAAAACCAAAATAATGTCTCCTCTTTCACTGCAGGGAAAACAGCATATGTGAGAACTTACCTTCCATGGCTGGAGATCTTGAAGGCTGAGTCTATTAGGGCCCTTCATTCCTCTGTGTTTGGATCTAGAGGAATGTATGGCATGAAGGGAATGTGCCACTGCATAGACAGCATTATAGACTGCATAGCTGTGGCCAGTCATGTCCATTTCAAAAAGAGATGCGGGAAGGTTCTCCAGCTTCTCCAAACCAGTACATGTTCTGCCAAACTTTCTTAAAAGTCTGGGATTTGGAAAAGTGCACTTAAATGCACACTTCCAGAAGTCCTGGATAAAACCATCTCCTTGTGTCCAGTCAGGTGTTACTAGATGAAGGAATTTCTTAAACTCTGGAAGTTCATTTGTGTGAACCATGAAGGATAAGGCACCTTGATAGGTTTCCAGTTCTGAGTCACTTTCAGAGTCTATTAATGCAAATTCTATCTGGGCTGTCATTATCCACACTTTTCCAAGATCCTTAGGATCTTCTGAGGGCATAAAAAACCTCAGAGTTAAATAGGTAAACGTATTTCCATAGAGAACAAATACATTGGCTTTTGTCTGTGTGACAAGTAAATGAAACTCAGAGGTCAGACTGATAATTGCATCCCAGTTATTCTCTGGACGTTGTTGATGTGGGACCCTCTGTGTGAAGGCAGAACAAATCTTGTTTTGGGACAGCAATGGCTCCAAGACTTCTAAGAAATAATCCCCACTGGTATCATCTGCAGCAAATAGCCCAATCCACATCCATCCAAAATGCTTGAGCAACCTGACAATCCCCATATACTGATAGGCTTCATTTGAGACCATGTGGTGAAATGAAGACGGTTGCACTGTAAGGCGCTCCATTGGTGCAAATGAGCCATAGGCAAGCTAAAACAAAAGCAAGGCTATGGTAGAGTCCTGCTTGGTTACGTGTGTTTTGGTGTGCAGAGGATATTTTCCTTGGAATCTGTGGATTTTTAAACATTGCATCCCACCTGCATTCTGCATTGTCTAGTGCTCTTCATTCTGCCCTCCACTCATTGGTAGAACTGCATTTTGCACAAAAGCATTCGCTGAGGGCCAGTGCAGTGTGCTGTTTAGCATGTTGGACTGGGGACCTGAGACCGCTGGGTTCTGGTGGCTACTCATCCCCGGAAACACTTTGGGCCAGTCACTCCCTCTCAATCCAACCTACCTTGCAGTGTTGTTATTGAAGGATAAAATGGAGCTATATAATTCACATATGCACCTCTATAAATGTCCTCCATACCTATTTTTATGGTTTGTGGGGGGGGGGTTATGGTGCACCCACAACTGGAGTACTGTGTCCAGTTCTGGTCTCCACATTATAGGCAAGACATAGCCAGATTAGAATCAGATCAGCGCAGGGTCACAAGAATGGTAGCCAGGTTGGGAAGGATGACATATGAGGAGAGATTGAGGGAACTGGGTCTTTTCATCCTGGAAAAGAAAAGACTCCAAAGAGATAATTTAGTGTCTTAAGGGAATGTGAAGGGACGTCATGTGGAGAACGGTCTTGACTTGCTCTTCCATGCACTGGAGGGAAGGCTGTGTTCCAATGGGGTAAAGTTCAAGGAACCAGGCTTCAGGTTGGATGTCTGGGAGGACTTCCTGATGGTTAGAACCCCTAGGATATTGAATGGGCTTCCAAGGGAGGTGGTTGAGGCCCCATCAGGGAGGATGTTCAAGAAAAGATTGGACAATCCCATGCTGAGGATTGAATGAGCAGAGATGGCTGGAGCCTGGGGTCAGACTAGATGTCCTCAGATGACCCTTCTGACTGGCTTTGTGTCTATGTTATCTATTCAAAGCTGCTCCACATTTAGTAAGCAAAAAACAAAGGAAGGATTGTGTGGCATCCATCCACCCTAGATTCTGAGAGCACAGGAATTTGGGAACCCTTCAAGTTGGGAGGCATCCAAAAATCAAGTGTGCAATCAACTGGATTGCTGTTTCAGGAAAGGCAAGAGAAAATGCTATTTAAATCATGAGAAAGTCAAAGCCAGGATGCATGAAGAAATCTGACCTGTGGAATCTTGTAAAGGTGAAGGATGTCTGCAATGTGGAATGAAACATCCGTGCCCAGTCCACCAATGACAGCGATTGGATTCTTCTTGTTGTCACACAGATAACTGGGGATGAATCTCTGTGCTTTGAAGAGCAAGTTCAGAACGGTATGGTGGAAAAGCCTTGCATGGTAGCTGCTGTCATAAATGTGGAAGCCAAGTGTGACATTGGACAAGATCTTGGGGTTCTGGTTGATCTCATTTATGGCAAACACCAAGGCCAGGAAGTGCTGGTAGAACTTTGTCACCATTCTACAAAAATAAAGTCATGCTGTTTATTGTAGCGCAATAACTTATCCATTCTGGCTTAAGGAGTTTTCATTACCTAAGTGTAATAAATGACATGCTTTCTTTTTCTTGCCTTATTGTTTCTGGCATATATATATTGGGGGGTGGGAAGAGAAAGAGAGGTCAAAATAATATTGCTAATGTGACAGAACACTAGCAATTGGCAGTGATGAACTGCAGGACCAAAAAAAATGTAAAGAAATGTCCAGATGCTCCAAGATGGTTTGCTTTTAATGTGCAGTTGCCCTGCCCCATTTGGGGTTCTGATGGTGGCACTATCCAGATAATGCAGTCATCCGCTTGCAATCCTCCCATATTTTCACATCACTGATTCTATTTTTTAATCACAGAAATTATGTTAAGCAAGGCACAACAGCTGCACAATGCTTTCTCGGGGTTAACAGCTAGGAAACCACCATCTTGGTCATTTCTGTCCAAACCTTCCAACCTGAATTTGGAGAACTTTCCAGCAATAAGCCATAATCGGGGACACACCCTATGGCACAGTGTAACAGTACACTTTATGAAATTATTATTATTTATCACATACAGAACCAAACATTCTTCCTCTTGCAAGGAAACCAAGGCTCCTTAAAAGGATCTCCCCTCTATTTTATCCTCACAACATCCTTGTGAGGTAGCTTAGCCTAGAACCCACATCTCCTGAGTCCCAGTCCAACATTCTCACCACCATGCTCTGAAAATAGTTCTGTACATCTCTGGCAGCCTGGGATCCCATTCATGCAAATCTAAAGGTGGGATGAAGAAAAGTCATTTGCATCTGCATTAAGACCTCACTTTTTTCCCCAAACAAACCAAATGGCATATCTATCTGCTATTCTTTCAACATTTCATTGTTAATAACATTATGATGCAGCTAAGCACAGAAATGCAAGGACTGTCTCTCCCTCCCTCCCTCCCTCTCTCTCTCTCTCTCTCTCTCTCTGTGTGTGTGTGTGTGTGCGCGCGCGCGCGTATGTTTAAGATAGTCAGGGACAGAGAGAAAATCTCCTCACTTTGACGCATTAAAGGTATCACATGAAGGATGTCTGCTGAAAGAAAACTTGTTGACAGTGGAAATGATCTGGGAAGTAATTCCACTGATAAGGAGGTCCCCTGGATGGTACGATTCTTGCCGAAAGTGGAGGGGAGCTTCCATGGGGCATTTTGCACTGTGCCTTTCACATGCCTTCTGAGGTAAGAGGAACAGCAGCCAGAGTAGTTTCAACATTCTGGTTCTTGGCAGACACTGTTTTTCCTTTACTCACAGTCTACAGAGGACTCCAACAGCTGCTTGGATGGTGCCGGCATCTCCCAGTAGACATCCTATTGAAATTCAGCATCCATTCACCTTGATACCAAAGAAGATGAACACATGGCCCTTAGGAGATCAATGCTCTGGTATCAAATAGAACATTCATATGGGAAGGAATATGGACAGGATGGCTCAGGGCCAGTTTCTGCATGGTTAATTAATGAGAGACTTTATCAGACCTGACTTGAAGTCTTCTCTGTCCCTTAGCTGAACATCCCTTCTCTATACGTGTTGGGCTAGGTGCCCCATCATGCCTAATCAGGGATGATAAGAAGTGTAATCCAACACATCTAGAGTCCATCCAATCATGGTGCAGGTCTCTTCCTCTGTCCACCCCTGGCATATTCCTAAACCCTAATTCCAAATTTGCGTCTGTAACTTTGGAGACACAGGCAGCTGGCTAAGAGGGTTGCAGGGTTCCCTAAGCATGGATTCTCAGCTCTGAAGTAGGAGCAGTTTTCTGACTTCAGCAAGGAACTTTAACAATCCTGTGGTCCTCTGGATGCTCTCCACACGTAACATTTAGGTCCAGAAGGAATGGGTTGGGTAAATTCTGGGCTAGACCACACTGAAACCAACTTTTCATTCATCCCTAATAGACCAGTTTCACAGTCAAGCATTTGTCTTCCATTGTTCGATGGACTAGAAATCTGAGCTGCTTATGAAATTGTCCCAATTATTTAATTCAGGAATTGTGCCACGTTTCAACAAGCACCAAGGGCAGCTTCCAAAATGCATCTTCACCATCACCTTAAATAAGACTGCATCACTGAATGCTGACTGTAAGAGCTACATTTATTATATTTATATGCCATTTTTTCCTGCAAGAAACCCAAGGCAGCTTCCTCCTCTGCTCAGGTTTGGCCTCACAGCAACTAGATCCCAGATCTCTCAAGTCCCAATCTGTCAAGAGTCAGATTTCCCCCTTTGTACTTTCAAACGCCAGACTGTTCTTCAGCAAATGCTCCGAGTGTTCAGGGAGGATTTCTGAGTGTGCACTGGGCAGCTCATTGATCCCAAATGAATAACTACTTCTGAGAACACTTCTTTTGAGGTACCCCGGTCCCCATCCCTCTGGGAGTGCCCTTTTGGAGATGGGCAAGTCTTCTTGCTATATGCTACCCTTCTAGTTTATTTATTTATTTATTTATTTAAAACATTTCTATGCCGCCCCATTCACCGAAGCCTCGGGGCAGCTCACAACTTAAATTAAAATTTAATACATTAAAAATATAAAACAAATTAATATAAAATAAGCTGCCCTGGCCACTTAGTTGGCTAGCCCTTCTCCTCCAGTGCCGCATCATGGGGTCAAGAGTCATCCCAGGGTCGTCTGCATCCTGGGACTCACAGCTTCTCCCAACAGTTGCTGACTGGCTATTCCCAGAATCCACCTAAATACCTGGGAAGGCATCCTTGGGATTAGTCCTCTCTCATCTTCCATTTTGACATCTGAAGGTTCTGTTTCCCACGGTTCCTCCTGCCCATCTGCAGAGCCCTTGGCTCCAAGGCCCTGAAACTTGTGTCAAGAACAACTGCCTCATTCATTCTCAACACAGCCCCATACTGTACCCACAATGTACCCACCATACTGATTCTAACAATAGCACTGACACCGTATTTTTCCTTGCAGTAATGAAATAATAAAGGTGTATTGTTTGGTGACATCATGAACATGAGAGGAGAAGCATGATAAGGGGACAGTATCAAAAGGATTGGAGAAATCCATGAAGAAGTTGGCTGTCGGTGGCTACTAGCCCTGCAGGCCATGTGCTACCTTCTTCACCAGAAGTGGAAAGCCCACATAAATCATTGCTGAGGAGCTTGGACAGAAGGATTCTGCATGTGGGCCCATGGTTTGTCGTCACGTGTATGGATGCTGGGCTTGATGGACCTAGGGTCTGATCCAGCTGGGCTTTTCTTGTGCTCTTAGAAATCAGATGGAGTCATTAGTGGCTGATATGCAAAGACATGTGACTTACTGCACATGAAAAACCTCCCTCACATCCCTCCTTCTCAAGCAGCATATGAAACACACTGGCTGGATTTCTGCATTTGTGAGACTGAGGAACCCTGGAGATGCTGTGAGTTTCACTTCAAATAAGCATGTCTTTATATAAACAGGCCTCAATACTCATTTTTATGCCTTCCAAAAGGGGGCAGCAGCGGCATAAAAATTACTTAAGATACTGTATGTTAGAAATAAATGTTGATCTGGGCATGTAAGTTTGTGGTTTCACCAGTCAGTTATCAAAATGTTTACTTAAAACTGAAAGCATACAAGTCCCTCAAGATTTCCCATTCCTTAAGAGAATTCACAAAATTTCTCTCTTCAAAGGAGAAATGTTCCCTTTCCATCATGCAGGGGAAACAATTGTGCCTAATGCATGCACTGGTTATTAATTTTGCTTGATAGGGGACCCACACACTGCATGGGCCAAGGGGGACTCTTGATAGTTTTTTTGTGCAAAGAATGAAATTGCTCATAGCCACCTGCAAATCAGCAAAACTTGGATTTACAAAATTTCTGTGAATTCAGTCCCAAAGCTGGTTCTGACCAAAGTCTGTATCAGGTAGTGAGCTTTGTAGGTTTTGGGGGAGTGGTGGTTTTCCTCCCCACCCACCTCCTATTGGTTTCTTTATTTTTGCAGAGAAATTGGGCCTATTTCTGTGCATCATTTTTTCAAATGTGCACAGCAATTGTGCATTTCAATATGCACATTCTTTTCCATTCATTAAAACATATATTTGCACATTTTTTTCAAATGTATACATTTTTCATGGTCATCTTTCCATTGTGTGCATGCTGTTGGATGCTATTTCATTTTATCCTATTTTTGTTCCACATAAAAAAAGTACAAGATAGGGACAACCTCAAGGGACTACAGCTGCAGCTTGTATCCAAATCTGTGTTTGAGTAAATCTTGGAGAAAAACTGAAAAAAATGCAGCTGCATCCTATCTGGGCAGCAAAATCGACCAGCGAGTCCTATAGTCCACATACAGGTACCCAGTATTATTATTATTTATTCATTGGCAATAACGGTCCATAGCTTTTTCCTGGTTTGACCACTGTTTGCAACTATAGCACTCTGACCAGGGGAAAAGGGGAATGTATGAAATATTTGGTGGTTTCTGTACATCATAACCCCCAAAAGAAAGTTTAGTATGGTCTGTCATAGTGGAACAATCTGTCAAGAGAGGTTGTGTGCTTTCCCACACTAGAGTCAAGAAGCAATTGGACAGTTACCTGATCAGGATGGTGTAAATTGGTGTCCTGCACCAGCAGGGAGTTGGACTCAGTGGCCTCCTTGGCCCCTTCTGGTCAAACTATTCTGTGTTTCTCTGATCTTGGGGGTAATTATCATTTTATGGTAAGAATCCTGGAGAGGGGATTCCACATAGCACTTCTTCCATTGATGAATTACTGTGGGATTTTATTATTACAATTTCTTCTTCATTTCTCTGAATATATGTTTCCTTGTTGTTTATATTTTTGCATCATATATCTACCAGAAAGTATAGTAGCTGCACTATTTCCCCTCAGAGAAATGGCCACCACTGGCATGTCTTCCCCAGACTATGTCCACAGCACATGAACAAAAACACAAAGGATGGCATGAGCGTTTTTATCAGGCATGTAGGCAAATGAAAGGCCAGCTTTCTGTTTAAGTCAAGTCTACTATCTCACATCCACATCCTCCTGTGACCAATTTCATTCAACCCCTCAAAAAGCAAAAAGGGGAAATTATGTTTTGACTGGTGTTTATTCTCTTCTTAACCATCTTCAAAGGTATCATTCTAGTTTCAGAAAAGGGAGACCTGAATATTTTAGGGGCCAGTGTGCAGCAGATGTGAATATTTTCTCTTTCCTTGCAGGTGTCCACTCAGAGGTCCAGCTGGTGGAGTCCGGAGGAGATGTGAAAAGGCCCGGAGATTCTCTCCGCCTCTCCTGCCAAGCTTCTGGGTTCACCTTTAACAGCTACTACATGGGCTGGGTGAGACAAGCTCCTGCAAAGGGCCTGGAGTTTGTTGCAACTATGCACCCACCTGTTTCAAGTGATATTTTCTACTCCGACAAAGTGAGGGGCCACTTCACCATTTCCAGGGACAACACAAAGAGCCAACTGTATCAGCAAATGAGCAACCTGCAAGCTGCAGACATGGGAATCTACTATTGTGCAAGAGACGCAGCAAGGGAAGTGACTCAGAAGTGAGCCAAAAACCCTCACTTGTTCACACCAGTTCTCCTGGTTGAGATACCAGTGTCAACAGGAAGAGAGAGAAAAGTAACACAATGCATACTACTCCTTGCCCTTCTGAAAGGAGGTTGGTAGAAATGAGACCATGTGCATCACCTTTCCCTTAGTCTCTGGAGAATTCAGTAGATTGATAAAATGTGGACTTTGTGGGTAGATTGCATTTGGAGCTGTATTCATTCATGAAGATGAAAAATAGATAGATCAGGACCAAAACCAAACAGGGAATAAAATGCCCCTACAGTCTCAGAAATACTATCTAACCCATCCTATAATCCAGAAAGGACAAACTGGACCAGAAGCACAAAACTGGAATCTCCAGTGAAGGCTTTGCACAAACAAGCACATCACGGTGCTTCTTTCCAACAAAAATGGAAAGAAAGAGACAAAGCATCCCTCTTTCAAAGAATTCAACATTTTTCATGTTTCCTACCTTAATGAATTACAAAGAGATGAAGCAATAGGTTGTTCATCCAAATGGCTTAATTAGAACTTAATTCAAATATACCAGTCCCCCTTTTCTGAAAACAGGAAGGTATTTTGAAGACTGCTAAGAAGAGTGGAGGATAGTGAAGCCAAAAGTTCATATTCCCAATCAGCAAAGGTTGACAAAGCCTTTTTATCCAGGCTCGTATGCAAATGCAGGGCCAGCTTCCTGTTTAAATCGAGCCCACAGTCTCCCAGCCACAGCTGCCTCCACAAGCACAGGAGGGTCCCTCTGAGACCAAATTCATTTCAGTCCCTTGCAAAGCAAAAAAAGGGAAATCATGTTTTGGCTGATGTTTATTCTCTCCTTAGCCATCTTCAAAGGTATCTTTCTGCTTTCAGAAAAGGGGGACCTAAATGTTTTAGGGGCCAGTGTGCAGCAGATGTGAATATTTTGTCTTTCCTTGCAGGTGTCCACTCAGAGGTCCAGCTGGTGGAATCTGGAGGGGATGTCAAAAGGCCCGGGGAGTCCCTCCGCCTCTCCTGCCAAGCCTCTGGTTTCACCTTTACCAGCTACTACATGGGCTGGGTGAGACAAGCTCCCGGGAAGGGCTTGGAGTGGGTTGCATATATGCACCCAACCACTTCAAGTGACATTAACTACTCTGACAAAGTGAAAGGCCGCTTCACCATTTCCAGGGACAACTCAAAGAGCCAGCTGTATCTGCAAATGAACAGCCTGCAAACTGCGGACACGGGAATCTACTACTGTGCAAGAGGCACAGCAAGGAGAAGTGAATCTGGAGAGAAACAAAAACTCTCCCTTGTTCACACCAGTTCTCCTGGTTGAGCTACCAATGTGAACAGGAAGTGAGAGAGAGAAACAAAACACAATGCTTACTACTCTTTGTCCTGCTGGGAAGAAGTTAGCAGTAATGAGACCATGTGCATCAGCTTTCCTCAGTCCCTGGAGAACTCCCACGGCAATCATGCATGTTAAACCAAACATGAGAGTCTGGAGCTAAAAAGGAGAGATTCTGGCTTCAGTTTATTGTCTTCCCAGCAGTCTTCAAAGTATCTTTGGAGAATTGGTGTATTTGGGCCTCAACATGAATGGATCACTGCATTTGTCATTTCTTCCAGGGATCCAGTTCAAACTCCAGCTAGTAGAGTCTTGTGGGAACAGCAAGAAGCCTGGAGAGTCCCTTCACCTCTCCTGTCCAGCTTCTGAATTCACCAATAGCAACAAGCACATGAGCTGAGTGAAACACATATTAAGGGTAGATTTTATGGCCCCTTAAGAAGGCTGAAAGATAAAGCCTCCTTCAGATAAAGTCTGAATCACAATGGCAAGGACTTACGCTAATAGAGATGAAGAGAGGATGAATGGATGGTTAGTTCAAAAGTAAACTCATGGTTCATAAAAATGCCTGTTATTTTATTTCTATACCTTCCCTCTTATTTGTTCCTCACCTTTACTTCCATGCAAAATATTCCTCTTTCCAAAGAGATTGAGGAAAACAGCTGTCATCATTATAAAAGAGAGGGAAATGAGGAATATTACTCCATCTGCAGGCAGAAAGACCCTTGGATGTGATTTGTAACTTTGCCCTCCAAATTCAATCCTCCATTAAATTTAATAGCTTTAGATCCATCCATTTAAAATAGTTTTAAAGCCATCAAGCTACAGATTTATACTTAAATTTTCATAAAGCATCAGTTTCCATATCAGTCTTTACAAAATAACATAATCCCGGACTAGCTCCATTTATTTGGCTCTTCCTAAAACAACTAGACTCTCACTGACTGCATTGCTGCATGTGTGTAAGAAAGGAAAACTTTGATTCAGTAAGTTCTTATTTTCACCAGTAGAGGGAATCTGTCACCTATGAATATAGTTTTCTATTTTGATCATAGAAATTAATAATTGCTTTCCAAACTTGACAAGTTTAAGGGGCTGGTGCAGATAATGAGGAAACCAAATTGGATTACCAAATTGACCAAGAGATAAGGTGGGAATTCCCTCCACTAGACTAGAAATGAGGGTTACCACTACCAATCAGCTAGATGAAGGAAACAGCCTCAACGGACAGGAATAGGTGGTTTTACATAGCCAGACTTTAAAGTAAGCAGAGATGGGTGTCCTTTATCTAAACTTAAACAGAAAGTCTTTCATGACAGGGAGTCATGAGCTTGGTCTTTTCCTGTACACCCACCAACCTCTCTCCTTTTCCTTTCCCAGCAGGTCAAGACAAGAATCGTATACCTGCAGTCCTTCATTATGTTAACCTGGTCAGCCTTTGCTGTCTTTATGATACATAGTAAATAAAATAAACGTTGTTAAAAATAGTATCTGTCAAGTAAATAATCCTTCAAATAATAAAGTAAGTTTTGCTGATTCCAGAAAGTTGATTCCAAACTGAATGCTCCTTCCTTTCCCACTGATTGGAGTGGGCTCCACCCTAAGGGAGATTTCTGTTGCTTGCAGGCCAGACCGCAGGAATGCCAGATGTTACTTAATTGTCCTGCTTAGTCGATCTGCCATCAAACCACTGGGCTGATTGAGTTAGACCTTTCCCCATTTTCCCCCTGAACAAAGTGTAGTTCAGCTGTCATGAAATGCTCGACCGATTGAACCTCATTGGCCTCAGCAGTTCAACTAAACATTCTGGCCTTCCCTCTTTTCAGGTTCAGAGTCTGAACTAAAAAACTTGGAATGCTGCATTGTGAGAGATGTGAGACCTACAAGCAGTCGTTCTCCACAGATGAATCAAATTTTGTTTTAAATATTGTTCACTGTCCCACTTTCCCCAAGTTTCCATCTCCTTCATGATGTGTCTCTGTAGTTCCTGGACTAAATGGCCTGGGATGCCCCTTCTGACTTGCTATGTTTTTATATATCTGTGTTTATAGTGGTGTCAGGAAACTGCAAGGCAGGTGGCAGATGGTGCTCTTTGTACGATATTGTGAGTATGACTATGACTAGGATTTTGACATGGATGTATCGAGAGAAAATTTCAACTCAACACTCTAATCTTTCCTTGATCATTGAATAGCTAGAATGTGATGTTATAGACCTGTTGCATGGAAATTTCACTACCAAGTGTTCAAATAGGCCCTTGATTACACTGTTCATCCAGGTGGGACTGTTAGAACTAAAATCTCCCTTGTGAACGTGCATCCACACTTTGGCTGACTGGATGCAGCGGAGGAGTTTCTCCACCAAGCTCCGCCAGTGCTGAGCCACTGCACTTTTCACTCTCGCAAATAGCACTCTTCCTAATAGATCATCACTATCTCTCACTTGTACCCCTAACTGGGGCCTCCTTGCTCCTCAAGATATGCTGTACAATGGTGTGCCTTTTCAGGGTCCTATGCGGCAGTGTGCTGTGCAGGTCCAAGCATCCCAGGGGCACCAGGGCCCTTTTATGCTGAGCTGTATGTAAATGCAGCAGCACCATCCTGATTAAATCACCCTTGGCCTTTCATTCCACATTCACACCCAGAGACGCTTCTTCTTTGTGCTTGTCACTCATTCCTGTCCAAACCTTCTGAGAGCAAAATGGGGACAAGGGTGTTTTGGCTTCCATTTGTTGTCTTCTTCACAGTCGTCAGAGGTATTTTTCCTATTTTCATAAAAATGATGGATGTCGGTGGCTAATATGAGGCAATTTGTTTAAATAAGCCTTTTGTTCCAGATGCCCAATCAGAGATCCAGCTGGTGGAGTCTGGAGGGGATGTCAAAAGGCCCAGCAAGTCCCTCCGCCTCTCCTGTCGAGCCTCTGGCTTCACCTTCAGCAGCACATGGATGAACTGGGTGCGCCTGGCTCCGGGGAAGGGACTAGAATGGATAGGAGAAATTAATGGAGGAAGTGCGATGGGACGGCATACAAAAATTCTAAATAAATAAAATAAATAAATAACTACTGCATGAAAAATCACAAGCAGCAGAAACCAAAAGTCTTGCAGGTCAGTGTTTAATTGGGTTCTTGATTACACTGTTTATCCAGGTTCCCCAGGCTGATTCATCTGCTGAAGACATTGAAGACATCAAAGAAAGACATTAGAAGGGAAGAAATACTGACCTAAACTGCAATATAACTTCCTAGCGCTCTTCACTCCTTCTTCAATTATATCACTGGATGGGGTGTGCCTAAATGCCCCCCTTTCATTCTTAAACACTCCAATTTGAGTAGAAAGTTGGGGAGGGGATTCATAGTTATGTTTGTTTGTCCTTCCTCACCTGGCAACCCTGCATACCCAGAATTACATGAATGGAACTCCATTTCCTTCTGGTTTGCATTTCGCTCTGTGAGATGTAAACTGGATGCATCTATAAACACAAACACATAAATCCATTGCAGGAATAAATTTCACACACATTCCTTTCTCTGACCAAAATGGGTTCCTAGTCACAGTTTGGACTGAAAGTGTATCCATCCAAGCATGCTAAGAATCTTCCATTATGACCTTCCAGAATGTGGAATTGTGAAGCTTCAAGGGTGGGAATAATGCCAACATACTGTCTTCATCGTGCAGACAGAGATTAACAATCTTCCTTAGAGGTTAACAACCCTCTCCTTCACATTTTGTTTGTAATTTGCACACAAAGAGACCTATAATCTAGTCTTTCTAGGACATTGTCAAATACCGAAAAGTGACCCCAAATTACAACCTCCTGCATTTTTTAGTTTTATTTGTAAAAACCAAAACATATCTGGGGTAACATGTCCCAAAATATGTATAAGAATAGTTTTGCGGGTACATTTATAACCCAAAGAATAGTAAAAATGGTAGTTTACTACAAGTTTTTTTATGCTGATTTGAAGTTTATAGTCTTTATTGCAGGTCAATACGCCAAGCACTGTGAGACAGAATTTATTACTATCCATAGCTGCATGGAAGATTAAGCCTTAATTACCTGTACATCTGAAACCTGAATTCCATTTTTAATCTGGTTTATCCCTCCTGGAGGAAACATTCAACCAAACAGCGCTTTCCAATGCAGACTTGCTTGAGTCATTTTTGTCTGACATGACAAAATCACTCCAAATGAAATGCTAAAACAAGCAACATTTTGGCTCCCTCCCTCCTTGTACATGTTTTATGAAATACAGCAGAGCAAAGAGGGATACAGTACAAAGGTTGCTTCAAACAGAAACCCTGGAGTGTCTCTTAAGTGGAACATATGTTGCAACCACTCACAAGAATGGAGGAGTACTAGAGGATTAATGATCACAGATTGCCAGTCTGAATAAAAGATAATCACCTCTACTGAGCAGACAAGTCTCCCTTTAGCCATCTGGCTCATGTGAACTTGGAACATATGATGACCCTTTTCCATTCAAGAAGCTCAGAAGAAGATGCCAAAGCCTTCCTGAAGTCCATCCTAAGAACTGAAGCTTCTTCCCATCAGAACCTTATTTTCTGGGTGGGATGGGTGAGGAAAACTAAATGCAAATCATTTGCCCACAGCCATCCCTGCTTAAATGCAACCACTGTTCAAGCTCATTTGTCCCCCATCCCCAGAATCAGTAGTACATGGAAACATAGAAACAGAGCGAGTCAGAAGGGGCCTCCCGGGCCATCTAGTCTGACCTCCGGCATCAGCTGTACCTTTGGGACTGGTCCGTTCCTCACAAACATGATACATTCTGTCACTTTCTTGATGATTTTCATCACCCCTCCATGTGAGTCTCTATGAAAAGACCAGAAGTAATTGTTTTCCATTTACTTAGGTATGGTTTAAATGTAATTGGGTCTCTTCTATCTCATAGATGTTCTTTCCCAAGTCACAATGGTGGAGTCTGGTCCTGGAACTGCAAAACCTGGGGAGTCCATCAAACTGACTTGTACCGTTACTGGTTACACCATCTCTAGCGGTTACAGCTGGGGATGGACAAGGCAGGCTCCAGGAAAAGACCTAGAATGGATGGCATCTATCCTTTCCAATGGGATCGTTTTCGATGCTGCCTCTTTCAAACCCAGAATTTCCATCTCCAAAGACAACTCCAAGAATGAGTTCTACCTGCAGATGAGCTCTCTCATGGCTGCGGACTCTGCCCAATATTATTGTGCAAGAAGCACAGAAAGAGGAATAAAAGGAAAAACCATACAAAAACGGAAAAGCCCTTTCTGAGAGCTCAACCTGGGTACATTCTAACTGTGTATTTTTAACACAGAAAGCATCGCTTTCACTTTCAGCCTCTTACAAAAATAATAAGTCCCTGGATAATTTCAAGATCCTCCTTGTTGCTCCCTGAAACAACTCTGCCTTCATCCCCTTGTTCATTTTTGTGAAAGGAACACATTTGCTGAGATTGGGCAAAGGAACAGAACAGCTTTTTGCCAAGATTAGTTTGTTGTTTTGACAGAGGCCAGTGGTAGTATTTCACCATGGTGAGTTTGGTTTTTAGAAACAATGGTTTACATTATGGTTTCTCCATAGCACCATAATTTGTCATGTTGTCAAGAATGGTTTCTTTGGTTCTGGTATGCAACTACCACAGAGTCCTCTGGAAAGACTGGCAACTGCAAAAGACAGTCCAGCCATCTAGCCTGGGACCACTGACACCACCCTCCAGTCCTCTGGAACCTCATCCATTCTCCATGAGGACTCAAAATTGGAGTCCAATGGGTGTGCAAGTAAAAGGCACTGCTGGGATTTGAACCCAGGCTCTCCTGTTTACTAGACAGGCGCTTTAACCAACTAAGCCACAGTGCCAATATTTTATTTATTTATTTATTTATTTAAAACATTTCCATGCCACCCCCATCACAACAAAGCCTCGGGGTGGCTCACAACAAAAATACATAAATATAACAATTATACAAATAAAAATATTAAAACTCAGTGCATCTCAGCTTAAAAGATTTAAAATCCTATAAATACAAATAAATTAACAATTAAAATGAGTTTTAAATAAAAAGGTCTTAGCCTGGTGCTGAAAAACAAATAATGACAGCACCAGGTGGACCTCTCTGGGGAGCGCATTCCAAAGATGCCAATATCCCTACTGCCTCCCAATCTTGCTCTCTATTTCTAAGGAAGTGGAAAGCTTTCTGCCTAATAGCCTTATGGATAGAAGCTGAAAGGGAAAGAGAGGGAGTCTAATGCTGCTACCTGCCTTTCAGTTGTTCTGAGCAGACCTTCATGGAGGCAGGAGAGATGCAAGCAGGTTCCAGGCTTGTTTTCAAGTTGCCATTCTGAGCTAGCTCATAGCTATTTGCTAGGTCCCTGGTTCTTATGCTGTCTTCCCTGCATTTGCCTCTGTTGAGTAAAGGATTCTCTAGAAGGCTGAAGAAAGGATGAACAAGATAGCTTAAGTTTGAGCAGAGAAAAGTTTAAGGGATGTAGAGGGTCTCAGTAACTCAGTAATGAGAATAAAGTCATAAAGCCACCTTGTGGATAATGGTAGAATGGCATTCTAGCAAGGTGAACTTGCTTTGTGTTCCTTATGTTCTAAATATGAACGTAAATGTTCCTTGCCATCCCAGATGCTGCAAGAGAAAGGAGTCATGCCAGCACTAAAACTGTCAATCAGTCAAGAGAAAACTGGCCTTCTGCTTATTCTCTTTTTGGCAATCATCACAGGTATCCTTTTAATTAGGAGACGGTGGTCCCTTAATATGTCTTCTGTTCCAGGCATCCAGTCAGAGGTCTAGCTGGTGGAGTCTGGAGGGGACACCAAAAGGCCTGGAGATTCCCTCTGCATCTCCTGTCAAGCTTCTGGGTTCTCCTTCAACAATTATTGTATGGGATGGATGACACAAGCTCCTGGAA